GCCAACTAGCCCTCCGGTGATGGTTTTTAGAGAGATGCCAGAGCATCTCATCCTTCTCTCTTTTTAGAGAGAGAAGGAAATTGAAAAGTGAGAAGGGTTAAAACCTTTAATGGCTGCATTCGGGTATAAATAACCTCTCCCATACGGCGTCGTTTTGGGGGAAGAGTGTATGTGTAATTTCGAGAAAGGGGAAACCTCGTCCGCAGTCCCTCGAGGTTTTGTAATCTTTCAATTTGGTCATTGAAATCAATTTATGTGCCTTTTAATTCAGTCTTTTAGTTTTGTTTTATTTCTTTTTTGTTTATGTCAGTATGTTCATATATTTTAGGGTAAATAATATATTTAGTCCATAAATTTTAATAATTTTTATTTTAATTCTGATTAGTTAATTATAATGAAATTACACTTTTAATACCTATACTAAATGATATTTCGAATTAGGGTTATTTATTTATATATTTTTTAATTTAATCCTATAGTTTTTTTTGTCACTGTTTAATTGTAATTTTATTTTATTTTTATTATTGCCCTTTATGTTTCAATACTTTAAATATATTCCTTTAATTATTACTTTTTATTTTATTTTAATTTCATTTTAGTCATATTAATATTTATATAAAAAATTTATAGGTATAACTTGACCTATTTTATAATTTGAGTAAAATAATAATATTTATTTATTTTTAAATATTAAATAAATGGCTATCTTAAAGTAACTAGATGTCCTATTCTGGTATTTTAAAATAAATAAATATCCTGTTTATAACAACCTAAAAAATATATTTACTTTAGTTTTGGTTATATCAAATTATTTCTTGGGAAGAATTATCATATTCTTATTATTTCAGTTGGAAAGAGAAATATTCGTCCCAAAATAATTTAGGGATTACTTTTTCTTCGATTGGAAATATTGGAATATTTTATATTTTTCCTTAGAATTTTCTTTAAATAAAATTATGCGATTGAATATGGAATAATAGGATTGTAAATTAAATTCATATTCGATTTCTTAAATTTCTATTATTAGAGACAACTTATAATCGACAAGTACCAATTTTTGGCGTTGTGAGGGTGCTAATCCCTCCCCAAACGTAACCGACCACCAATCCATTTTTATTACTAAAAATAATGAATTTTTGGTTATATGCAGATCGATTTATCTTTTAAATGATGTTTTCTTAAAATCTCTTTTAAAAGATGATTTTTAGGTATTCGACTTGCCTAACCCAAAAAGTCGATGGCGACTCCAAAACATTTCATTAAAAATCATTTATTTATTCCCATGCTTTTTCCGCCAAAAAACAATCGTGATCCGGGCGAAAATCGGTTATGATAGTGCGTATACATAATACATTTAAAAATGACATATAGTAATACATAAAGGACATTAATGCAAATATGTACATATGAAAAATCAAAGTTACAAATTACAGCAACTAAATAGGTATAAATGGAAATTTAGCTCAGAATAAAAATAAAAGCGTAAACAATAGAAGTATGGGTACTGAAATCACCAATAATCCATAAATACTAAAGAGGACTAAAATGAAATCATTCAAAATTATATATCAAATGTAAAACAAAAATAAAACAAATGAATAAGTAAATAGGACTAAAATATAATATGAATAAAAAAGAAATGCTCGAAGTAAAAGGAATAAAATTTCATTTTGTGACTAAAGGTAAGGTTACAAAGATAAAGGGATTGAAACTGCCATTAACCCCTTTTCTCAAAACACGCAACTTTACCCTAGGCCAAAATGGCATCGTTTTGGGGGGTTTAAATACCCCCTTTATGTGATTTTGACTTAAAATCCTTCTCTCTCTTCTTTTTTTCTTTTCGGTCGCTCTCCCTTCTTCTCCCTCTCATTTCGTTTCCCTCTCATTTCTTTTTTATTTTTCGTTTTCTTCATAAAACCCTCCGGCCACCACCTCTACCGGCCCCGACGATGGGACGATGACCCCCTAAAACTAAAAACAACCTTTCCTAACCCAAAATCGAGACATAAATCACCTGAAATCACACAAACTGACCCCAAAAATAAAAGAACATTCTACCTTCGATGCTAAACCAAGTCTCTTCCTCGCCGGCGAAGTAAACTCAATGTAAGCTCCTCTCTTTTTTTTCTTTATTATTTAGTTTTTTTTTTCAAAAGTTTTCCAAATGGTTTTTCACTTTTCTCTCTTTTTAGGCCAAAACTGAATGCTCCCTCTGTTTCTTTTTTCCCTTTTTTTGAACCCTCTTTTCTACACTATTAAAAATAATGGTGTGTTTGGTGAAGATTGGCAGTGAGAAAATCGAGCATGGTTCCTCTAATTTGAGCATGTAAAAATCCAAAAAAATTGGGGTTTCTCTTATTTTTTTTAATGCGTTTATGATTTTCTTGGATTCTGATTGCTTTGGATTATTTTTGGCCACTGTTTGGTCAGATTGACGACGACGTCGGCATCTCACGCGACTGGGGAGATGACCAGTGAAGCTCACGCGCCGGTTGGGAGCTGAAACGTTGGGTACACGCGCAAGATCGAACGGCCAAACTTCTTGCGGCGGCAGCTAATTAAACGTTAGGAGCTAGGGTTTTGAAACTAGTTGAACGGGTCGGGTCGGCTGCAACTAGGTCGAATATGTTGGGTTAAGTCATTTGGGTTTGCTGATTGGGCCTCTGGTCTTGGGTTGTGCTTGTTGGGTTTCGGTTTTTGGGCCTAGTTTTGCTGGGCCGATTGGGTTTCTTGGGGTAGGTTGTATTTAGGCCCAATCTGAGCAACTGTTGGGTATGTAAAAAAAGACAATAATAATAATAAATAATAATAATAAATATTAATAATAACCCGGACAAAAACGGGTATCTACAGTTTAAAGTACGCATATAGTACCTCAACTATCAGTTTTGATCCATTTTAGTACCTAAACTTTCAATTCTTTTAAAATCATACCAAAAGTTTAGTTTTTGTTTCATTTATAGTACCAAAACTTAAGTGTTGAAAAAATTAAAAGTTTAGGTACCAAAACACGTTTAATACCTAAATCACACTTAATTTTTGAAAAAAATAAAAGTTTAGGTACTAAAACAGACCAAAACTGATGGTTTAGGTACTAAATGAGTTAGGTTTTTAATGATGGGTACTAAAATGAAATAAAAACTAAACGTTAAGTGTGATTTTGAAAAAAAATGAAAGTTTAGTAACTAAAATGGGACAAAACTAATAATTTAGGTACTAAACACGTAATTTACCCATTAAAAAATAACAAACACTAAAACTAAACTATATTTCAACAAACCATACTTTATATCATATATATATATAAAACATAAAATTCCAAACCATAATCAAATAAACTTAAAAACTAATATTCATATTATATTTTTTAAAATTTTAATTTTAGGGTAACCTACACATTTAGTACCTAAATTATTACTTTTGCTCTGTTTTGGTACCTAAACTTTATTTTTTTCAAAATCAAACTAACATTTAGTTTATATTTCATTTTGGTACCCGTCGTTAAAATCTTAACGGTGATGTTGACATGTCACCATAAGGAAATGTTACATCATCATTGAAAAAAGTAAAAATTGGAAGTTTTTAAAGTTTAGTGAGCAAAATAGGAGAGAGAAAATATTATTTTTCACATAAAAATAAAAAAAAGTAAATTACATAAGAACTATGAATGTTTAAGTAAGTTTTTGTTTTCGTCATTAAAATTTTAAAAATAACAAATTGATCACTAAAGTTATCGATTTATTTAGCTACAACATGATCAATGGTATATACTCAAGGTTCATAACAAACTAAGCAGAAAAAAGAATGTGTATTACCCTAAAAACAGATTGATCCTTCTCTTGTTTCTGAGATGTTCTTAGAGAAAAGAAGTTCCCAGATTACAAGTTTACATTGAGCCAACTTTACAAAATATAAAAAAGATGCAATTTTTAATAATGAACTCCTCTGACCTTGAGCAAGCTTGCCAGAGAGTTCTTGAGCTTTGGCATGTGCTTCTCTGTAGATCTCTCGAAGATGCTTTAAAGCGTCTTCTGCTGCAGTTCGTGTTTGCTTTTCCACATAAAGTTCTCTGCTCAAAGATTCTATTTTCTCAAGCAGTTCTTTTACGTAGGTCGGATGCGGTGTTGGTGACCGGAGCGACTGGTTTCATCGGTGCACACGTTTCGCTCACCCTTAAAAAATGCGGAGATGGTGTTTTGGTTGTGGAAGGTGATTTGAACGATGTCAAGCTTTTGGCTAAGCTCTTCGACGTGGTGGCTTTTACTCACGTACAAGGGGAACTAGGATGAAAGTATATGGGAGGGACCAAGTTGCTTATCTGTCAAATTAACAAGGTTCTAAAAGGTAATTAAACCACAAAATTAAAGGATTGAGACTTAATTTCAAAATTAAAATGTCTTAAAAAATAATTAAATCATAAATGTTAGAGACAAGACTTAATTTTAACTTTAAAACTGATTATGTCTTAAAAATAATTAAACTATAAAAGTTTAAGAGTGTCATGACTTAATTTTAATGATTTTAAAAATTTTAAAGGTTTAAAATACAATTAAACCATAAAAGTTTGGATGGACCATTTCCCCTTCTGTCCCCACATGGTTTCGTCACTGCTCACATATGCATTTGGAGGCTCGAGCCGGAGTCAATGACTATTCTATTTTTAATTTTGAAAATCTTTAGAATAAATTAGATATAAAATTATTGTTCAATAACTTATTTAACATTTTAACAGTAGTGTATAGGTAAAACTAAATATTAACCTTTTCTTAACATTATCACTTCATCAATTTAACAACATAATAATGGTGTGACCATTTTATTACAAATCAATAATATTAGTGATCAATTTATTATTTTTGAAACTTTAAAAATAAATAATGAAAAATTATATAATATTAGTGATCATTTGTGTAGTTTACCCTAAAAAATAAAAATCATAATCAATTTTCACCCTTTTTAAGAATTATTGTATGCGAGTGGAATATTAGAGGGGATAAAGATAAATGGTGCGAACTCCAGCGGAAGCCTAGTTGAATTAGAACCAACATGGGAGCTTCGATAATCCCTTCTCCCAACCTCCCACCGGCACCGGCACAGGCACCGGCACCGCCTCAGTTCGAGCCAAACACCGAAACCATCAAACGAAAGCTCCTCCGGAAAGGCGTTCACCCAACTCCCAAACTTATTCGAACTCTCACCAAAAGGGAAATTCTTAAACACAACCGCAAAACTAAACAACAATCTCAATCCGAAACCCCTTCGCTCACCGCTTCCGACCTCCAGTCTCTAGCGGAACAATCCCACTTTTTAACCCTGAAACGCGAGTACAAACGCTTCTCCAAAGCGCTCAATTCCAAAACGGAGCGCCAGGGTCCTTCTTTGGTGGGAAACCCATGGGAGAGAATCGAGGGAGCCAAACTTCGGGACCTCGCTTCAGAAAATGAAGAATTCCACGGAGAGCGCTTGAAGAGACAGAACCTTAAGGAGCTCCGGGAAATGTTCGAAGAGGATCTCCGTTGGGTCCTGGAGGATGATGTCGAGGTGGAAGAAGATGATTGGCTGCTACCCGCTGAGAAGCAAGAGCGGGACTTGGACCCTTCAAAACGTTGGCGTAACGAGAAAGAAGCGATTCGGTTTCTTGTTGATAGGTTTTGATTTCTGAACTTCATTTTCTTTTTAGGGTAAACTATGCCAGTGGTTACTAATGTTTGGTTAAATGTTTGTTTTCACCACTAATGTTTGAAAAGCTACAAATCGGTCATTAACGTTATCGATTGTTATAAAATGATCTCTCGACGTTAGCCGTAGTTAACAAATCGTTGCTACAGTAATGGGATGCTGACATGACATGTTAAACTGGCTGACCGACCTTTTAATTCCTCTCCGCCTCCAACATAAAAGTATGTGATTTCTGTAATCAAAATGGTTTTCATTTAGTTTCTATTTGCTGTTAGAATGAGGTTAGGCCTTTTCGATGGAAATCCTGAGCAACTTCCTTTCAGCAATATAGGAAATCTGCTCTCCCGATCACCATATTCTAGCACTTGAAGCTGCTCGTAATGGCATTGTCCTTTTAAAGAACGATGCGAAAGTACTCCTTCCACTTCCGAAATCTATGTCACTTGCTGTAATAGGTCCGAATGCTGATTTTCCGCAAACACTTATCGGAAACTATGCAGGCCCTCCATGCAAATCCGTTGCTCCTTTGCTAGCTTTGAAGAGCTACGTTAAGAACACTGTTTATCACCCTGGTTGCAATATGGTTTCTCGTTCTACTACTGCAATTGACAAAGCAGTCGAGATTACAAAACGGGCAGATTATGATGTGTTGATAATGGGATTAGATCAAACTCGAGAAAGAGAGGCGCTTGATCACACCGATTTATTTCTTCCCTAGAGGCAACAAGAACTCATTACCAGCGTTGCAAAGTCTCTGCAAAAAGACCGGTTGTTTTAGTGCTTCTTTCTAGATGTCCTATTGATGTATCTTTCACTAAGGATGATCCGAGAATCGGTGGCATTTTGTGGGCTGGTTTAATGTGTCATGTCAGCATTCCGTTACTGTAGTAACGATTTGTTAACGATTGTTAACATCAAGTGACCATTTTGTAACAAACAATAACGTTAGTGACCATTTTGTAACAAACGATAACGTTAATGATTGATTTGTGACTTTTCAAACATCAGTGGTGAAAATGAACACTTACCCAAACATTAGTGACTATTAGCGTAGTTTACCCTTCTTTTTATCATCAATTTCCTGTCATTTCACTTTTGTTCTTAATCAATCAATGACAGGTTAAGCGAGCGAGAAATAACGGAAAGGCATTGGAAATTTGTAAGGATAATGAAGCAATCAGGGCTGCAGTTTACAGAGTGGCAGTTACTTAGGATTGTTGAAGGACTTGGAAAGAAAGGGAACTGGAGGCAGGCAATGGCCGTTGTCCAATGGCTATACGGTAATAAGGAGTGTAAAGATTTTAAAAGCAGGTGATTGCTCTTCCCTTTTGCATTGAGTTCAATCAATTTGTAAAGGTTTTTGACTGTTAGTTAGAATTTTCTATCAAAAAAAAAATGTTAGTTAGAATCGAAGTTACTGGGCAACTAGGTAATTTGATGTTTGATATTGATGTCTCAATATTGCGCAGTATGTCCGATGAACTTATTAATGCTTTTTGTAGGTTTGTTTACACAAAACTGTTGTCAGTTCTTGGGAAGGCTAGACGGCCTCGGGAAGCTCTTGGGATTTTCAAGTTGATGCTTGTGAGTATCCACTATTTTATTACTATGTGCAATAGGGGATCTTTTTGCGTATTTATGCAATGCTGCTGGCTTAATAATTACTCTTGAATTATTCAGGGAGACTGCCTTATATATCCCGATTTAGCTGCATATCACAGTATTGCTGTTACACTGGGACAAGCTGGCCTTTTGAAGGAACTTCTGAACACAATTGAGTGCATGAGGCAGAAACCTTCAAAAAGAATTAAAAACATGCGGCACAAGAAGTGGGAGCCAATGCTTGAACCTGATCTTGTTGTATATAATGCTGTATGTGAGCATTCCTCATTTTTTTCATTATTTTTTACTGTCCCCGACATCTTTCAATCCATTAATAAGTTTCTTTTGGAAAATGCTTGCCAGGTTCTGAATGCTTGTGTCTCACTACATCAGTGGAAAGGGGTTTTGTGGGCGTTTGAACAGTTGAGAAAGAGTGGTCTGAGACCTAATGGAGCAACGTATGGACTTGCAATGGAGGTACTTATAATCCTTGATATCTGGACTGATACTATGTTTCAGGCTTCTTAGTTCTTACTTTCAGTCCAAAGCAACAAATGCAATTTAGTATTGTTTTATGCTGCCATCATGGTTGTTTGATTGCTACTGTGTGTTTTAAGTTCATGTGCTACCTTTTATGAGTTACTTTTCCTGCTACAAAATGCTGATTACCTCAGCTTTCAAAGGTTTAAATGTCAGGCAATGCATTGAAGTGAGCATTTCTATTTATCTCTACATTATTTCCAGTGAAGCTTATAGAATTAATGGGGTATAACTTTAGAAGTCCTCTCAAGGACACTATTTTAGTGATATTGCAAATGTCTTGATGTGTGTTGGCAGAGGAATAATTTATAAGCATATGAGTCCAAAATAATTAGTTTTTGGTGTGTCATCCCACTTTACTACCTTAGTGGGGATGCTTCATGCTCTGATTGATGGAAATTATATCTACTGGCAAATATTGTTTATCCTCGAGTTATATTTCAATTCGAGTCTTACAGGAGGTGCTTATTGAAAGGTAATGCTGCATTCTGGGAAGTATGATTTGGTTCACGAGTTTTTTAGAAAAATGAAAAGAAGCGGAGAAGCTCTAACAGCACTTACTTACAAAGGTATCTTATTTCCTTTTCTCGTTTTTTAGCATGCATGTTTCTGTTGAAAAGTTGGTTTTGTTTCCAACTCAATACAAGCTTGATCTGTGGCTTTCCAGTCCTTGTCAAAGCTTTTTGGGAGGAAGGAAAGATTAATAAGGCTGTGGAAGCAGTCCGTGATATGGAACAGAGGGGAGTAGTTGGAACAGCCAGTGTCTATTATGAACTAGCTTGCTGTCTTTGCAAAAATGGAAGGTGGCAAGATGCTATGATAGAGGTTAATTTCATTCTCTATAGATTCTGGATCATGACTGGATCTGAGTTGATTGAATATTTGCATATTTGTGTCGTGCATTCTCTTTAGGGGAAACTAAAGTGGTTCTTGCCTCAATGGTGAGTGGGGAGGATGCAGCACAAAGAGATCGATTTATGGATAATAACTTTAGTGTGCATATATCTGCTCTAATTTTAGAATTGATGTTCCCTTGTTCTTCGGATTTTTGCAAACTACAGTGACTTCAAGCAGCCATTGCCATTGTTAATGGATGTTTTTGTTGTCTGTAGCACTAGTATAGGAGCTGAATATATATATATATATATGTGTGTGTGTGTGTGTGTGTGTGTGTGTATGTATGTTATCCACATTATAATAAGAGGGTTAACCTGAGGAAAGCATATGAAATAAAAATCCTTTAAGCTTTGACAATTTAGGAGCTTGTTTGAAATGTTACATGGTATTCAATCAGTCTTCTCATTTTAGGTATTTGTATGGGATAATGTCAGATTTTGTACCTGTACTTTGACAAAATGTCCAATATGGTACTTATTCTTTTAAAATGTCACATTGGATATTTTGTTAAAATACAGATACCAAACGTGCTGTTATCTGTATTATTTTACTTTTGGTGGATTGAGATAGAAAGCTTGGAATGAAGTCTAATAGTATTTCATGTTTCTTTTAGTGTATGCATCTCTGCATCAATTTTGCATTGATGACCATAGACCTAGGAACTTCAAATTCAGCTAAACTATGTTTGCAGGTGGACAAGATTAAAAAACTCTCTACTAGGAAACCTTTGGAGATAACCTTCACTGGTTTGATAATGGCATCCCTGGATGGTGGATATGTTGATGATTGCATTTCCATATTCCAATACATGAAAGACCATTGCGCACCCAACATTGGAACCGTAAATGCAATGCTTAGAGTTTATGGGCAAAATGATATGTTTTCTAAAGCCAAGGAGTTGTTTGAAAAAACCAATATAGCCAGATCTGGTCCTTGCGGTTCCCTGAATGGCAAGTTTGGCAACCTTACGCCAGATGGGTTCACATATAGCTTAATGCTGGAGGCATCTGCTAGTGCTCACCAATGGGAATATTTTGACTATGTCTACAGGGAGATGGCTCTCTGTGGATATCAGCTAGATCAAAGTAAACATCCGATTCTACTTGTGGAAGCATCTAGAGCTGGGAAGGTTAGCTATACATATATTTTCTTTTATTCAAAGTTACAAAGGTGTTAAATTTTAGTTGTACCTTGAATATTTTCTGAAGCTGTTAATTCCCCATTGGACGAAAAAAAAGCTAATTATCGGGTGTCCTGCTGCTGCTGAGCGGACATTATTTTGTTTCGACTGAATGTTTTGAGAATCACATTTTTGTTGAAGTTGCTAATGTACAGAAGATCTGGATGACTTAAGTGTCTAGTTTGCTTTGATATTTGCAGTGGCATCTATTAGAACATGCATTTGAAGCCTTTTTGGAAGGTGGAGAGATTCCACATCCACTGATATTCACTGAAATGTTAATCCAAGCTACTTTGAAAGGTAATTATGAGAAGGCTGTCACCTTGGTCAACACCATGGCTCAAGCCCCATTTCAAGTCAGCGAAAAGCAGTGGACTGAACATTTTGTAAAAAATGGAGACAGGGTTTCTCAAGGTTGTCTGGTGAAACTGTTGGATGCACTCTCCAGTTCCGAGTTGTCATCCGAAGTCACAGCCTTGAACTTGTTAAGATCCTTGCAATCTCTCTGTGGATCTGCCCTGTCAACAAGTTCCATGTCCTTTGGTATCGAAATCACTGGTAAATCTGAGCCTAACTGTAATAATGGAGAAACTTATGGTTGTGAGAGATTAAACATTCCAACTATTCCCGGGAACATAATGGTTGAGAAAGGTAAAGCAGCCACAGGTCCTCCTTCAGAAGCAACTGGCACATCATTTGCTATGTTGGCTCTTACTAATGATGGAAAGAACGAAGAGGATGGCGCCGCTGCAGATTCGGTGAATAGCTTATTAAATTATGATATGGATGACGACACAAGGGATTTTGCTAACGGTGTTACATCTGCTGAGCATATGAATTGTTCAGGCAAGCCGGTCCCTTATTTAAATCTAGATCAATACACCAAAGATTTTGACGAGGCTGAAACCGACCTGCCAGTCAACGATGATGATGCTGAAATAGATTTGCTAGTCGATGAGAATGGTGACTCTCAAACGTCGAAATTGCCTTCTGCACAAGAAATACTGGAATCATGGAAGAAAAACAGGGAAAAAGATGGGATATACTTTCCTTTCCATCAAGGGAAGAAGTGAATGGCACCATTTTCATTGCATTTCCGGAACTCGAGTTTCTGGATTAGAGAACATGCAGGCACCAGAGGCACAGGTGAGGATCCTAGAAAGCAAGAGATTGAAGCAGAAACAGCTCCAAGGGAGGTATGGGCAATGGATTTAACAATATCCTGGAATATTAGGTTGATGTAAAGATTAGGGCATAGACAATGGGAGGGAAGTTGTGTGTGTGGGTAAGAACAAGGCTAATAGTTGAGCTCTTATGGTTCAATTTTAGATTTTTACTTTTTTGGTTTTAAATACGTAGTTGGTATTTTCACATGGGTGTTTAATTTATGCTTTTATTTATTTATTTGGATCGTGTTATTGATTTTTGCAAAAAAAAATATTTGGAAAAATAAGTGACATTTGAATTTTTTGTGTTCATATGGCGCATTTGAATGTCAGTGTTCATATATTATGTAGATGTACACGTATTTTATAAATGTAATTACTTGAACTCAAAATCTCGAACTCGGAACATTTTTATCATTGGAGAGAATAATACTTTCATCACTCGGGGCCAAAACGAAATAAAAATTTATATTTAGCAATTATTTTGAAAAAAAAAGTTGGATAATCAAACTAGAATTACAGCGGAAATAGTTAAGCTTTTGTGTTTTTTAACGGAGTTAATAGGTTGAGATAAATGAAGTAACTATTTAAATTTTAAGAATCAAAACATTTCGAAAAATATTTTACGGATAACTAGGTACGAAGTATATAAAGGGTGATGGTGCGTTTAAATCCTAAAATAATAATTAAATGAAAATCTAAAAGAAAATATTCTTAGGTGGCGTTTGGTTCGCTGTAATGTTTATGAGGAAATTGGAATCTGTGAAAGAATTGAAATATGTAAGAATTTGAATCTAATTCCATATTCTGTTTGGTTCGCAGACATGTCAGATGAATTTGATTTCAGTAATATAAAATGGCAGAATTGCCCTTCTTATTTTTTTTTGTTTTATTTTACAACTTACATGTAGTAATATATTATAAAAAATTAAAAAATATTAAATTTTCATTTTATTGATGGATTATTCATTTCAATAAATTATAAAAATCATGCTAATAAACATTATAAGTTAAAATCATCGCAATTAAAATATGTTAATAAGTTACCAAAAGATAGAGCAATATTTCGATACATTCAAATCGGAGTATGTTAATTAGTTACCAAAAAATATACCAAAAACTATTTTTATTCAATATATGAATTAGAAACTCGACCCGACACGACTCAAAATAATAAAAAAATTATTTTTATTCAATAAAAACATTGACTTAATTGAAAAAAATTATATATAGAGGGGTATTATTGTAATTATTCCTAAATATATAAGGTAAAATTATATATTTTTTCAGGTCGGTCCGGTTTTTTTCACCCTAAACCCGAACCCGACCTGACCCGAATATCACACTTAAAAAAACCCAACCCAACCCGACTCAACTCGAATATCACATTTAAAAAACCCGACCCGACAAAATAAAGTTTCATCCGACCCGATCTGACTCGAAATAATAAAAAAATATTTTTATTTAATAAAAATAGTGACTTAATCTGACCCGACCCGAATTATATATATTTTCGGGTCGGTCCGGTTTTTTTCACCCTAAACCTGAATCCGACCCGACCCAACCCGAATATCACACTTAAAAAACTCGACCCGTCCCGAACAAAATAAAGTTTCATCCGACCCGAATATATGAATTAGAAATCCAACCCGACCCGAAATAATAAAAAAATATTTTTATTTAATAAAAACAGTGACTTAATCCGACCCGACCTGAATTATATATATTTTCGGGTCGGTCCGTTTTTTTTTCACCCTAAACCCGACCCGACCCGACCCGAATATCACACTTAAAAAAACCCGATCCGACCCGACCAAAATAAAGTTTCACCCGACCCGACCTGACCCGAATATATGAATTAGAAACCCGACCCGAAATAATAAAAAAAATTTTTATTCAATATATGAATAAGTTACCAAAAGATTGATGAGGGTAGTATGATAAAATTTCAATTCCCTCCAACAAGGGAATTGAATATCATCAGAGATTCCAATTCCCTTGAAAAATTTGAACCAAACATGGGAAAGTGATAGAATTGGATTCCAATTCCCACCAATTTCAAGGGATTCAATCCAACCAAACTCCACCTTAATTTTTAAGCAAAAGCAATCAACTATGCACATTTAAACCTCATTTGACAATATTAAAAAAAAGAACTCATTTAAGAATGGAAACGGGATAATCATGGTGAGTCTTTTTTCCTGATCATAATTCAAGTTCAAATATAGTTCTATTTGGCTCAAACGGGATAATCTGACTTGATTTAACATAATTTTTATATTTTTTTAAATCAAATTTTAATGAAATAAAATATTAATTTATTCAAGTTAATAACATAAAGTTAAATTTAATATCAAAATTTTAACACCTTGTATATAAGTTTTTATATTTTTATTGAAACTTAATTATAATATATAAATAATATCTTCATAGTCATCTCATGTCAAAAAGGGACATATACTCCCTAAACTCAAACATCTTTTTTATTTAAAAAAAATTGAACTTATTGGTTCAAAACCCTTTGTTTTTTTCATCCCTAAATTTATACGAAAATTTATATTCACATGTCCTTCAATAAATCGACATTAGCTTGAATTTTCAAAATCATTCGACTTTATCACATCCATGCATAAATCATTATATCTTTTGAATTAGAAATTTGTCATAATTAGACTTGTCCCCAACGAATATAGGGGGACTTAAATTGTCTCGCATAAGAACAGCATCAACAAGTCAAGTCAAGGGATCATGCATAGACAGCTTGCTAAAGCTATCACCTTTGACCCACCGACGGAACTACGATTCTAATTCAAGAGGGTAAGATATAATTAATAATAGAAAATGAGAGGAGAGAAATCCAAATAAACCACAATTTGAAGGACTAAATAAATATTTATCCATATATATTTTTTACAACCCAACACATTGTTCCGTTCCCTGTTTCGACCTCCTCAAAAAAATCTGCTACAATATTCGCTTCACGCTGGATGAATTTAAAATCAAGTACGATTAAATAACATCATTATCTCACGAACTAAGGAGCATGGATTGTCCGAGGATGCATTTTAACGCAATCCATAAGCATTCAAGCTATCCGTCTGAAGTTGAACCTTTTCAAAACTATTACTCCACGTCAACTTTAATTAAGAATGGGTACGGGATCTGAATCTGACGGGTTTCGACTTGACCTGATCCGATCGATCCTTTTTTTAAAAAAAATTAGATTCGGATCATGTTGAGCTTTTTAGAGGTTATGTTCGGAATGAGTTTGAATTAAGGGTGAAAAATACTCGACCCGACCAAAAATATATAATTTTACCGTATATATTTAAAGATAATTACAATAATACTCTCTATATATTATTTTTTTCAATTAAATTCTCTATTTTTATTGAATAAAAATAATATTTTTTAATAATATATTATTTCAAGTAGAGTCAAATTTGAATTTTAGCTCAAAAAATTAGGCCATGTTTGGATAAGATTGAGTGTATATAATTTTCGGATCGGATTGATCGAAAATCCGACCCAACCCGACCTATATTCATCTCTAAGTCTTTAAACCTTCAAGAATTCCCCAAAGACGGAGTTCTGTAAATTATCCATCCGAGCTATCCATAAATTCACCTTGTATCATTTTCTTCACCGTCTTACAACTTTTGTATCGTAAAGACGACGTTTTGTTAGTTTGAATTCACTTTTTTAATAAAGTGAATACTGACTAGGGGTAAATATTTGACAGAATCAAATTGAGTCAAAATATTTTGATTTAATCTAATTAATGAATCTCATTTTATAACTCGAATTTTACTTGAAAATTTTCAAATCGACTCAAGTAGAATTATTCGAATTTCTATCTGAATTTAATTATAAATATTTATAATATTATAATACTATTTAATTTCAATTTAAACGATTTTTCTATAACCACATATACATGTATAGTTCATATTTTTTTCATAAATATCATGTAAAATTAAAGGACTCGACTCGAACCTAAAAATCAATCTATTAATCATTAAAAAATTCAAGTTATTCAAGTTTTACTTTATAATTCGGCTTGAATTTAAAAGTTTTTTATGAGTCAAGTTAATAAAATTACGAGCGTGTCGAGTTTTTGCTCTAATCTCAAAGTGTGCCACATAAATGTCTTATCTCTATTTCTTTTGCTACATTGTACCCTTTTACTTGATGATAAAAAGCAGCAGCACTTGATGAATTTTTCTCACTCTCTCTTCTTTACATGCCTAATATATTTACAGTTATAGGTAAGAGCGTGGTTGGTTTACCAGGCCGGCATGATGTCCAGTCCGGTGCATCGTTCCAGCAATGAACTAAGACCGCATGGTGAATATCCGTTTATGCCATCTGCACGAGTTCGCGACTGATATCAAGAAGATGAACAACAAAAGGAATCGCATTCGGGGTCAAATTCTGGTAAACATTAAGATATCAAAATATAGAGCTCTATGATTTGAGTTCACAAGAGAAAAGCATATACGAAGATGAGAAAACTGATGAAATGAAGTGAAAGTAACTGCCTGTTTGCTGGAAATTCTAAAATGCAACTAGTTAATATAAGGCTAAAAAATGGCAGATATCGATTAAAGCTGAAAATCTTGGACAGAGAAAGTATCATTTTCAGTTGCAACCGAAAATGTTACTTTCTTCATAATATTTTCGGTTGTAAGTTCTAAATCCCCGCAATGTAACTTTTCGGTTACAAAAAAAAATATTACAAATTTGTATAACTTTTTAGGTTGAACGTGATAACATTTTAGGTTGAAAACGTCTTAAATTAGGCTGCTGTACAATAGAACTAACCCCTGATTACAATGGGATTCTTTTAGTGAAAGAAGTTTAATGATAAAGCTCTTCCTTCCTACATCTTTGTTTCAGAAACTTTTCAACCATATAGAAGAAAGGTTGAAGTAGGCCCACAGAAATAAGAAAAATAAAATTTGTTCAATGGATGTCAAGTTATTGCAATGAAGGTTTGTAGATTGGCAGAGCTGCAGGAGGTAATATCACGGCTATCACTCTTAAACAACCAACTCGAGCATCGACTAAGAAAACCTTTGTTTTCAAATCTATGAACACAGTTCAATAAGAAGAAAAATTAAGAACTGATTAAAGAGGGTTTACCAGGTATCTAGCATCTTAGACTTCAATGCTTTCTCGGCTGCTTTAGCAAAAATTTTTGCTGCCTCTGCTTCAGCTTCTGCCACTTCTGCCTCTCTTGCTGCCTTTTCAGCCTCTGCGATTGCAACTTCTGCCTCTGCAACTGCTTGTGCTGCAGCTGCAGCAGCTTCTTCTGCAGTCATGCTCCTCATTTTCAACAAATCTGCATGAACTTGGGTTTTAGTAAGAATGCTGATGCCTTTCTTCTTTGCTTTCACAGAATCCTTCTGCCTGCCTTCCAAAAGAAGCAGATGAGATTTCCTTGCTTCAGAAATAGTTGAACGTGGTGCAATCGTGTACTTGTGCTTTACCTATCAACATACACATAATAAATATGAACCAGTCCCAACTAATGAACATTAGTCTTGATCTTCTTTTAGAAACATGTTTCCCGTTTATGGGAAGATATGCCGATAACTTTTTGCATGTAGATCAGAAAAACCAAAATCAACATTCATCCAATTGATGAGGAAGAAAAGTCCCAGAGTGTTGGATATATTTTCCAAATAGAAAGCAGCCCTTCCAATCAGTCTTTCTTTAAATCTAATATTACGATTGGACATGCCATATAAGCTACCTTAATATTGTTTTAGGGAACATCAATGGCATAAAAGTATGTTACCATGGAACACCGTTGTTGAATTTTTAAACGTGACATTGATACTGGAGCACCAGTAATCAACAGTATGTTACCTTTATCAATGTCCCATTTGCTACCAACAGCTTTAATTTAGTTGATAATAACTTCATGAGGTTTGGTGGAGCAGCATATTTCTCCTATAATGTCAAAGATAAAACAGCTCAAATTAATTTAGATGTTTTGGAGAAAACATTTGCAACAGTTTCAAAGCTGAGCTTTTAGGTAAGAACCTTGAAAACAGAAATTGAACAAGAAAAAAGGAGAAAGAGAAAGAGAAAGCATAAGTCCACACCCACAGGAGAACAAGACAGAAGGAAAATCGTTGACATATAAATCATTACAAAAACCGAAAGCCACCATCAGTTTAATTAAATGGGTATTGTTGTTTTCATAAGGGTACTCAGAATTCATGAAAGATTCAAGAAAGAAAAGCACCTCTATGTATACAGCAATTGATGCTCTGTCAGAACCGCCTGGTTCTTTCAAACTGGTGATAGCCTCTAGCAAAATATTGTCTAACCTACAACATTGAGAGTACATCACTTAAGCAGCAATGATGCCTGTACAAAAACAGAATAGCATGCCTCCAACACAAGATTGTTTTGGCCTATAACAACCAAGACGTTGGATAATTTTGGTTTTCATCAGTCAAACGTATTTACAGCCAGTTTAAAGTATCTAGGATGTAAACTAATATGTTTTGCCTTCTGCATCTTAAAATGTTGTATGTGAGCACTCATTACCCAAGTTCAACTAAAAGTAACGTCAATATGATACAAATATGTGTAATGAACAACATTGAAATTAGATTAAAAAAATAACTTAAATTTGGTTTTTTAGGAGCACTTGCTCTTGTTCCAAAAGTCATGATCAAATATCACGGCACTCATGTACCAAGTTCAACTACAACTAAATTCAATGTTTATACGAAAATATGTAATAAATAACCTTGGAAATTTTTTTTTGGAACCTGTTGTCCTCGGTATTCTACTAGAAACTGCAAGCAGCTTAGCATCAACGACCTCTTCTCTAGGAGGTACAGTTATTAGAGCCATGGGGTTATCATCATGTTTAGTGGCCAGCTGATTTCTTTTAAGAGCAAGCTTGGCCTTTTGCCTTGATCCCCATATGGCCGTAGCATTTATATTTCTCCATTTATCCTGGTCACATTGAAACGATACACATTAGTTCACCTCTATGCATGACAGAACACTGGCAATCAAAATAACAGAAAGCAGTACTTCAATAACTTAGCAGCAATTAGTAAAGGCAGTGTTAGGACACAGCAACCTCTGGTCACTAAACCAGAAAATTAAAACACTCATTCCAACTGTACTTAGTGAATCATGCTTGAGGCTCAGCTACATACCTTGAGATCCACATTTGAGCGTGAATGCAAGACTGAGCTAAACCCAGGATCTGAAAGGATATTGCGCCATTTTCCAGTACCATGCTTAAGAACTCCTGCCTTGAGTGCAGCTTCTTCTTCCGCCGTCCATTTCTGCTTAGGGGCACCCATTAACAAATTCCTGAAACCCCCAATGAAAGAAAATATAAACACTAGGAATCTGAAAATATCAAACACTTATACCAATCAATCCTATGTGCTATGCACCAATCCATCAAAGTTTAGACAACTAGCAAAAAGCATTGCAATTGAAGAAAAATAGGAGCCAAAATTGAATAGCATAACCCGACATTCATAGTATCTTTTTCCCCAAAATTTTCCCAATAATCTGGGGCTCCAATTCTCAACCATAGTGAAATTCCAGTAGAGATAAATTTAAAACATCACAATAAAAGCATACCGAATAATGAGAAATTAGAAACAAAACAGAAAACAAAATCCTTGATTCAAATGAGTTTAGAAATTTGGACAAAGTTCTACAAATCCAAAGGCCCACAAAGCATAAAATAACTTTCAACATCTCTCGACTCAAATTATACATATCTTTAGACTAAAACCATCACAGCAAGCATTTACAGCTTAAGAAATGTACGTATAACCATGAATATTTAATTTCCTTTCAAAATACAAAAATTAGATTCCGGAAAAGGCAGATTTATGAACATTCAAAAATCTAGTAATTTGATATCCAACCTTTTCCTCCTATGTAGAGCAATATTAACAACGATGAAACAACAAGAAATCAGATTAATGCATTCTCATCCAAATCTTAGACTTCGACAAAGCTTCAAAGGGATCAAGTTCTCTAGAAAAAATCGAAACCAAAAAGAAAAAATTGCATTAAATACTGAATTTCGAATTATGAGTGAAGTGAGGATGATTATAAGAGTACCTGATCGGAGAAAAGCGCGGAACATCGGACCTTTTGTCGAGAAATTATTCCTACACGACAAAGAATTGCAGAGGAGAATGAAATGGAGAATTCTTTTCCCCAAAATAATAATAAATTAAAATGGAAATTTGGAAATGTTGTGTTTCACTAATACTACTACCTTTCTTTTTGAGGCATTTATTATCTTTGGCTTATTATTGGATGAATGATTTTATGATGCTAAAACTTTCGTAAAATTAGCACGAAACAATTCTGCTAACCGGGTAAGGAATTTGTTCCCATAAGATAATAAGAGTAAAATCTATAAATAATTTCTCAATGATAAAACATTTTTTTATTAAATTCCAATTATGAAAATTTACAAAATGATGTATAATTTAGGCACCTAAATAGGAAAGTTTAGTCAACAAAATTGAAAAAAAATGTATAATTTAGGTATTTTGTAGGGTAAAGTACACAAATGGTCTCTCAACTATAAGTTGATGCTTTGATGAGTCTCTCGATTCTAGGATGATGCCCTGTGTGGAGTCTACTGATTATTAAAAGTAACAAAATAATCCATCAACTATAAGATGTCGCTTTGTCGATTTCTATGATTATTAAAAGTTACAAAATTATCACACAAATATTCATATTTCGTTAAAAAATTAACAATCGTCTAAGTTGAACAATAACTTGTCGACTATGATATGATAAAAATCATATTAATAATGTCTACTGACACCGCTATTACTTACAAGCACTGGCTAAACAATATAATCTTTCAAACACTACCTCGACAGTAATTAAACGGAGAGTCGATCCATAAAATACAACTCAAACGATTCTTATACCAAATTTTATCATATCGCATCCAACTTATTAATGTTCAGCTTAGATGACCGTAAATTTTTAACGAAAGAAAACGAGTTTAGAACATATGAATAATCGAATAGTCATTTTGTAATTTTAAATAATCGGAGATCCAACAAAGCAATTTCATGTAGATAGGGGACCATTGGTATATTTTACTCTTTATATATATAAAGCCTTCATTTAATATCTTTTTATCATGCTTGAAATAAATTTGCTTACATGCAATTCATGTAAGGCTTATGTCTGCCATGAATATAAAATATACTCGACATGATCTACTTGGTTTCAGGAAGTAAATCCTACAATTTAATTAACACAAACTACCACGGGATTACAATACAAATTCACTGTTGCACAGTGAAACCAACCAAATAATACCAAGTTTGATCAAGAACACATTGCAGTAACATCATGGTATCCATGTCTAAAGAATGTTAATAAAGTAACATGATAATGAAAATCCTTCAACCATACCAGAAAGAGCCATCAGTCCTGCATGGTATTGGCATCGGCATCCCCACCATCGACCATTGATGCTTCATTGAACATGTATTCTTTTTGGTACTCCATCAAGTATTGTGTTGATCTCCTTACATCCAGAAACAGACTGTAAACGCGAGTTATGTTCTGTACCTCCACAACCATTCCCTTCCGCTTCTGGCAATTCAATGCAGATGCTGTTATCAGATGAATAGCATATCTCAAGGATGTTTCGTGCCCGATTTTGGTCAACAGTTGTTTTGCATCTTTAGACATCTCTACATCTTCCTCTTGGCACCTGATGTCTAGAATCTTGTGAATTTCATCCTCAGAATAAGGTTGAGTGGTGATGATTAGTAATCGATCGAGAAGATCAATCGGAATCCCATGAGGGGATTTGTAGTTCGTGCCACGGATTGAGGTTATTCCTCTGTTTGTAGCAACTACTAATATCGGAGCCATCTCATTCTCAAGAGCACGGTTCAGGAAAGAAAAGCACTCAATATCAAGCATGTGAACCTCATCAATAAAGAGAACACCGGGAACAATTTCCGCCTTCCCTTCCTCCCTCCACTCTGCCACCTTTGTGTCAATTTGTTCTCTCACCTCAGCTCGGATTTCACCGGTATCCCCAGTGAAAAGAGCAAGAAATCCCTGTGTTCTAAACTTGAAAATAATGAAACATGAGATGATAACTAAGAACAGATGAACCTCTATAGTAGAACGACACAAAACATCATAAAGTCCATTATCCAAAAAGGCAGACTTGCACCAGATATGCATACATTGAGCTTAGGATGAATTTTTCTAGGGATTGATCAATTCCTTACTAGTGAGATATATTCGAACAAGGTACGATGTTCGAATCAAACAACTGCCATACACCAATTCTTCCCTAATAGTCACAAAATAATAGTATAATCATATTTGCTTTAACAACATTACAAAACATATGTAGTGATGGTATAAAGAATGCTACATATGTTGAGTTCATAAATATAGGAAGAAGCTAACCCACAGCCATAGCAAAGAATCAACGACTTATGAGCTGATTGAGTTTAACCTTCTTCAACCATACATAGAGCTCTTACCTTGCAGAATCCTCCAAAGTACAATCATTACTAATTCGGATTAAATATGCAAAACACCTAACATGCAAATTCTACCAAAATGTTTTAGTTTTCTTTTCCATCCAGACATACTTTTTGTTAATCTATGTAAAATTTGTTAATCCAATTGTTAGAATTTACCTGCTGTTAATGACATCGATCTCATGAAGGGTAACACAATGTACTACTTCTTTCCTCTTCTGCAACTCTCCATCTGGACATTGAACGAACTTTGTTTGCGGCCCCATTGCATCGTAATCCCTCGACCTCGAAAACGACCTTCCAAGCTTCGTTATTTTCCCTGAAGCTTTATCAATAGCTATCACATCCCCACTCTGCACTTTCTCTTTCCCTAATGCCTCTATCATCTTCGCCCCCAAATCGTAAACGGTCTCCATATCCGTCGTTTTCAGCGTCAATTTCCCAGTTTTTGAAGCCGCCCCAGAAACTGCCGGACGGTCGATTTGGATTTCAACGACCTCACCTTCGATCACTTCCGTTTCTTCCTTGATTCTAACTCCAATGGACTTTCGAAACGCTTGCATCAGAGCTTCTGTTTTCGACATTTCCAGGGAGAAGATTTCGCTGCCAGAGAGCATAGAGAAAGGGGTTTCCAGGCCAAGGGATTTCGCCATGCCCATGGCGATGGCGGTTTTGCCGGTTCCAGGTTGGCCCGCTAACAAGATAGCTCGGCCGGCAATTTTACCTTCCTTAATCATTTGGAGGATGACACCGGCGGCTTTACGAGCTTGTTCCTGCCCCACCATCCCTTCGGAGACGCCACGAGGCTCCAGAGAGGAGTCAAGGCCGAGGCCCCGTATGTGTGAGTGAGCCCCAATTCGTTCGATTCGGGTCAGGTCTCGGCTCTCTGAGAGTTTTAGCTCCGCCATTGCAAGAGTGAGGAAGGGAAAGGCAGGGTTTAGGGTTTTGCGTTAGACTGATAATTATATTTGGAACGAGTGGAGACGAAACGGGCAACGCTTGTTTAAACCCTACAAAATTCGTCCTGGGTAAACTACACTCAAGGTTTCTCAATTATTTGTTGGAAAACAAACGGATCAATTTGTTTTCTAAAAGTTACAAACAAATCACTCAAATATAATTCCTAAATCCAAATTGCTCATTTTGTCATTAAAATTAAGGGTAAAGTACACAAATGGTCCCTCAACTACAGGTTACTACTTTTTTTGATTCACTTGACTATTAAAAATTATAAAATGATCCCTCAACTATAGGCATTATTTTTTTGAGTCCCTCAATTATTAAAAGTTACAAAATGATCATTCGACTATTCATTATGTTCCAAACTCGTACTTTTCCGTTAAAAATTAACGTTCATTTTAGGGAAAATGAGCCGTCAATTTTTTTAACAGAAAATGACGAGTTTAGAATATAATGAATAGTTGGGTGATCATTTTGTAACTTTTAATAGTCGAGCGGTTCAACGAAACAACGTCTTATAGTTAGAGGATAATTTTGTAACATTTAATAGTCGAAAACTCAACAAAGCATTATCTTATAGTCGGGACCATTTGTATACTTTATCCTAAAATTAAAAGGAATATCTAATATAGTTTGGTATGATAATATTTTTACTCCTTAAAACTTATACATTCTATTAATTTCAACTTAATTTGAAACAATTCAATGAATTTAATAGTTCATAATTAAAAATTCTATTAATTTAATTTTTTTTACAATATTGTTAAATTAAGTGAGCCCTTCGAATTAAATTAGTAGTTGGATAATTATATATTGTCATGAAATAACAATAAAATATTATCGTTGACTCAATGTTAAAAGGGAATGTTGTTCTCCCTAAAAGTTTAGAATTCGAGCAGCTACACTTACAAAGTGTGTGCTCGTTGTCAATTGATTAAGAAAATTTTGAACAAATTCTATCTTATAACCAAAATAACAAGATAAAATCCACTTGATAAAATTGTAAAGGAGCAAATAAATTTTTATGCGTAAAAAGAAGAATAAGTTTAATATTTTGCAGGGAAAATCATAAAAATTAATAAATAAGATAAATGTGGTTATCAGAAAATCTCAATCGCTTCAAAAAGTTTTAAATTTTAAAACAAATCTTATTTAAAAATAATAATTTCTTTTATTTATTTACGTTATCCAAGAGCATGAACCCACTAGCGAACCGACTACTAAACCCACAAAAAGGGGCATCTCGTAGCCAAGAATATGACTAAAGAGGAGGCGGAACACTCTACTCAGGAGCATGGATTTTAGTTTGATCCAAATCAGACTGAAATTCATGTCGAGTACAAGAGAAAAGACCAACTACATTTGAAAAGAAGGGAAAAATTAGGATTGCAATCTTTTTAGTATTGAACCGACTTGAATCTAAACTACGATTCTTCTTAAGTCTTACTGAAATCGAATTTTCTTTTTGTGCCATATGCACTTATACTTTACTTACTCCCCTTACTTAATTCTTCCCTGTTCACTATTTTTGCCCCTCACCTCCTCTATGAGGATGATCCACTGGATTGCTTACAACACCACGAATAATGCTTTCGCCTCTGAAAGTGTCCTTCCTTCTCAATGCTCGAGCATCCATTCAATGCATTCTTTTCGATCTTATACCTAATATGTGGTATACATGGGCGGATGCACTAAGCCCTAGGGATCAAGTGCATCTCCATTTTTTAGAAAAAAAAAGTAAAATTTAGTATAATATGTTAAGAAAAATGGAAGAAATTGTTTTTTGCACCCCATTTTTTTTAAGGAAAAAAATTAAAATTTTGAACCCTTATTTATAAATTTCTGGATCCGCGACTTGTCAGTACACTAAACACCAACCCAATCTCTATAGCATGTGGGATACTATAATACCTCTCCATCTTTGTCTCCGTCTCCGTCTCCGTCTTTGTCCAGCATTTCTAAGCATACGTGCATCGTGGTTGGGATTGCAAACTATACCAATTCAATAGTAGTCCGACATCATGAATCTATGAGTTTTTCAACACCCGAAGGTAGGTAGGGTAGCCGCACAAGCTTAAGAGAAAGTGTGGGGAGTGCTGTTTCCTTCATTATTTTAGCAAAAGTTCCTGCCGCTCGAGCCAGCTGACTGCCCCCTTCCACTCGGCCTTTCTTCGCTGTGTGAATAAGGTCTTAGTATGGATGAGCATTCTGTGTGGGTCGCAATAAGTCGCTGGTTGAAGGTTTGGACCAATCGCAATTCATCACCATTTTTTCTGTTTCTAATTGATGACTGGCTATTATATAAGTGACAGGTGCACGATCGACTTTGCACGCTCTATCATTTGGCCTTTCGCCTATCGGCTTGGCAGGCAGGCTACCTTGATCCGTCTTCGGCTTCGATTCGTTATGCTCAGCAGCTCCAACAAGCCTTAAAGTATCTTACCGCTTAAAGCTCTGCCAAGAAAGCGTTGCTTTACGTTTGATCCCATGTGCCCAGAGAATGCTATGCATTCTCCCCTTTTGGACCTCACAAAGAGAGAACGTGTTTTTTCCTCTGAGCTTCTCTCTCATTCATGAAGCGAAGAAAGTGGGCTTTGCCCCAGCTACCGCTACCCTTGGGAAACCAAAAGAGCTACCGAAGGAAAGGGATACAGTCTCCCCCTTGGCCTTTGGAGAGGAGAGGGTAGAGAAGAAGACATCCTTTGCGCAAGTTTTTTTGCTTCCTGCACCTTTACTATACAAGACGCTCTTCGACCAAGGGGACATTCTGGTAGGAGGGTCGACCACTACATAAGTCGCCATCAGTCCAGGAGAGAACCAAGCTACCTTTCTTTGATCCACATTCCCGGGCAGAGAAGAGAACGAAAATAGGTCGTGGATGGTGGTCGTGGTACGTTCGAGGATCTTATGTGGCGGAGCGAATTCCTCTATCGTTTTCAATTTCCTCTGGCAGACCCAGACCCCCTTGATCCATCGTACTGGAGCAATCCGAGAAGAACTATTAGGGTCATATTCTATCCTTTCTACAATGCCCATAGATGAAGTGTTTCGTTTCAAATCAATTATTCTCTACAATCGCTTCGATCCACCCCCTCAGTGAAAAGCCGTAATACACCCTAAGGAACGTCAAAACACATCAAAATTTTAATCGAAACACTGCTTAAATTATGGGTAAACTATGCGAATAGTCCCCTTTGTTTTTGGTCTGACTGACTTTGGTCATCAATTTAAAAATTAAGGATAAATAGTCCATAATGTTACCAATCCATTTGATTTTATTCCATCAACCGTTAACTTCCGTTTGATTTTAGTCCCTCAGCTATGTCACTTATTCGATAAGGGTTAACAGCGGAGAGACTTAAACCAGATGAACCGATAATATTATAGACCATTTACATTTAATATTTAAATTGATGACTACCGTCGAACAGACCCTAAATAAAAGAGCTTAAATTATTTAGTTCTGGTTTTGAGATCGATACAACATATTGGGTTGAGCCCGACATTTGCTATGCACTTTGTGAATATACCTGCTTCGATTCATTGAGTTGCAGATTTTGTTAAAGTAAAAAAAATTGAAACATAAAAAAAAATGTTTTCATTAAAATTGTTTTGGAAATTTGAAGTATAAGAAAATATAAGATCTAGATTTTTAACTTAACTTACATGAGTTCAAATCATTCTAACATTTCTTTGACTTAATGGTATCTAAAACCCTTAAATTTTTGTAAAAAATCAGTATGGTCCCTAAATTTTTTACACTTAATGTGCTCCTTAAACTGATTTTTTAATAATTTATATATTTAATGTATTGAATATCTTAATAATTGTTTATATTTTAAAGTTAAATAATTTCTTATTTTTTTCTAAAAAGTTAAATAAGTCCTAAAACTTTCTAAAAAGATCAAATATACCCTTGAACTTAGCCAAAAAATAATTAAGCTCATTTATCACATAATCGTCACCGATTATTGTCATAATAGTATCATGAACTATAACATTAATATTGTATATTGTCATGCAAGCTTCGTGAATTGTCACGTAAGTGGTGTGACAATTAACTCTTGATTCCGTTGGTTAAAATGTTGGACTGATTTTTTCTCTCAATTTAAGAGTTACATTGAGTGCAAAAAACGTTTAGGGACTACACTAGTTTTTTCCCAAAAGTTTGAGGACCTCAATTACCATTAAACATATTTTTTTATTTTAATGACACTTTTGTGTGCTCTTTCTTATAATAATATTTTTGTTTAATTTTTAAATTTAATAGATGTCCAATATGCATCAACATTATATTCTTATTATAAACTAAAATAATTTTTGTGTTATAAAATTTCTTATCAACTTTATTGATTTATATTTGTATAACTCGCATATTAAATTTATGTAATGATTTTTTTAATAATTATAGTTTAATTTAAGTATTTAATAACTATTTGTTTATTTTTATTTAATATTTTTTATTATTTTTATTTAAATTTTTATATATTAACCAAACATGTTTTCTATATATTTTTTTAAAAAAAACTAAAGATGAAAACCATTTTTTAAAAACAAAAACAGAAAATATTTCTTAAAACCAATCCGACCTTTAGTTTGATGTAAAAATATATAATGAATGTTGTAAAAGTTAACTAGAAAAAGGTCTTGGTTTGGTGCTTAGGTGCTTGCAGATATTCCTTCATGGTAAAGTTGAGTACCTCCTAGCGCACATTTTCTCTTCAATTGATTTTCTCTTCAATTGATTTTCTCTTTAATATAAGAGTAACACGTGTAACCACCTTCCTTTTAGAGGAAAAATAAACTGAATTAAATAAATAAAAATTATGAAAATATTAGTGACACATGTCACCATCTAATTAGATATTAAAATTATTTTAATTGAATTAATTATGTCCAAATTGATAGAATGTAAAAATATTAAGTACCAAACATACTGAATTGAATAAATAAAAAGTATGAAAATATTAGTGACACATGTCACTATCTAATTAGAGATTAAATTTATTTATTTAATTAAATTAAATTATGACTAAATTGATATAATGTAAAAATATTAAATACCAAATATGTAATTATACCAAATTTTTTAACTGTCACATCATTTCCTAAATTAAAAGTTAACTGCCAATGACTTAATTGAAACATTTAAATAGTTGAATGATCTAATTAATTAAATCGAAACATCTATGATCAAAATAAAAGTGAGCAACTCATAAAAATATGATATTTTACTCTAACTTTTATATGATCAAAGATAATTTATATTTAAAATTCAAATTCAAATTCATGAGATATTTTGAGTGGCTTCCCTTAACTTTTACTCACTCATTCAATTATTTAGTTTTATCCTCTCTTTTTTACTCTCGGTTCTAGGACTCCGTCCTAATTAATTTTGATCGATTTACATCATACATCTGATTTTTGATGAGTGAGTATACTAGTGAGGGTTTTCTGGATACACCAGACCTTGAACTAAAAATTTGCCAAAAAAGATATTAAGCTTTACTTTTTTTCTTCTGAAAAATGAACAATACTACTCGAAGTTCCACTTCCTTATTTTAGATGTAATTTTGGGACAAAACATTTAATCCAGTGATTACACCGACTTAAATGAAATTACATTAGCGACTATACAACACAATAAATTTATTTTTTTAATTATTTTATTAGTTAATATGAACTTCTTTAGTTTGTAACAATGTTTTTATTAACCTACATCGATTTTCAGTTTGTAATCCAACAACATTGGAGCTCTGGCCCATGCAACTACCTATTTCTTCACAACAAGAATGCCATGATTCTTAATCACAACTACCCGCGTTAAAGGACTTCAATTATTATTGTTTTTGGTTGCTCATCCGATTTTCAAGGTGTGTTCTGATTAATCTAGATCGATTCGGGCCACGTACCTTACTTGTAATTCGAGACTTGCTTAAGCAATTCTCTTTTACTAGATTACTTTCCGCTCTTTACCTCCATCAGAATTCTCACTTTTATTGGATTCTAGTCCATCCTTAGCCAACCTCTTAGCTATCCTCCTGTGTTTCAACTTGTTCTTGCTACTACAATCACCTTGCTGATCGGCTACTCAAAGAAAATTCTTCAGTTTAGAAGCAAATTTCCCAAGCTTATCAACCATTTTACACAAAAATTGATGCAAAAAGACCAAGTTGAAATCTTACCCGGTTTGTCACTTGAAGCAACTTGTTCGTCTCGGGCATTTTGTCGAACACCTTCAGGCTCACCTTGCAATGAATCAACTCCGTCATATTGGCGTGATGGTAACAAAGGTCCGATTATCTTTCCACGGCGGCAAGCATCTTCTTTGAGCTTTTTCCTTCTAAGTCGTTTCCTTTGAGCTCTACTCAGCTTATGAGTCTCAGGTTGACATCCGTCATCTTCGTCACCAGTCTTTGGGGAACTGCCTTTGCTCGCTTCAAAATCATCTGCCACCCAAAATTGATTACATTTTCTACCATTTCATCAAACAATTAGAACTTGATTTGCTTCATTAATTTTTTATTTAAAAAAACCTGGATTTTCAAGCCCGAAGTTGAGAGGCCTGTCTGATGCGATCACCTGCTTCTTTTCCTCTTCCTCCTCCGATTCCGGCGGAGACGGCGGTGGATAGAGTGTCTTGAGAACTGCCTCATGAAACCGTTTTCGTTTCTCTTCACGTGGCATTGTAGATCACTCCTTTGCAGCAGCCGATGTGTATCAAAACTTTATTTGTTCTTCGCTTACGGTTAAGGAATATTTTTGCTAAATTCTATGTTGGTCAATTCGGGAGGAGGATCAGATTGATTTTTGATGAGATTAATAATAAGAATAGTGATTAGTAAGATATTAAATTATTTGAATTTGAAAGATTTTAATTTATAATTAAAAAAAATTAAGTTTAGATTGAGTTTAGGTTTTTTTAAATGAAAATATTAAATTAAGTGAAGTAAAATTAGAATAAAAATATCATATTTAATCTAATTCAATTAGAATTGTTATTGTCGAAACGATTTTTCTTAAAAAAATAAATTTAACTTTTAAAACCTGATTTTTAAAAGATCTTGTCTCGAATAATTTAGTGACATTTTTAATCATAAGATGTGATTCGAGGAGTCGCCACCAATCTTTGATTAGGATGTGATTGGGCACCAAAAAATATATTTGTTAATTTAATAAAAATATTAATTTTAATTAAAACAACAAATTTACTATCTGCATTACCAAAAATTTGAGTTTGGGAGTCGGTTACGCGTGATGAAAGATTAACACCCCACAACGTTATAAATTGGTACCTAATTGATTAATTAGTTGTCTTTGCAATGAAATTTACGAATTTCAGTTTAATTTAATTTAAGATCAAATATAAATAATATAATTTGAATTTTAATATGAAACACAATAATATTTAATTATTTCTATCGAGCAGAATCGACCTCTTATACCTTAAAGCATTCAATCCCTACTCGAATCGAAATAAATAAATATTATAATTTCGTTCCTAAAGTTCGTTAGTTTTAAATTCAAATGTATAAATAACAATAAAATAAAATAAATTTTAAACTTTCTTTTTAAAACATATACTTTAAATTTTATGAGGGAAAACGATAACATTTAATTATTTTCAATCGAAAATAAATGATCTCTCATGCCTTAAAGCGATCATTTATTACTCCAATGGAAATAAAGAGATATTACGAATTCATCCTAAAAATCAATATTAATTCGAATGTGATTTATTTTTGAAACCATATTAAAACATGCATAAAAATAAAATGAAAGTTAAACACATATCAAACAAATACGATTAAATATTTATTTTACCAACCTTTAATGAGAATAAGGATGTTTAGTTATTTGAATACATCGAGACTATATGAATTTAGTTAAACACATATCTAACAATATTTTCTCGATGAATTTATTTAAAAGAACATGATATTTTTCTCAGTTTCCAAATTTTAAATGTAATCAATTTTATTCATCTCACTTAACGGGATACACTTTCATTTTAAAATTATCGAAAACAACTTTCTTATACATTAAGACAGTCAGTTCACAACAATCTTAAAATGAACGAATATTACCCTTAGTTAAATTATTTCATTTCGAGTAAAGAAATGCTTATGAGGGTTACATTAAAATAAAACCTAGACCTATATGTATTTAGTTACACACATATAACATGCATAAAATTTAATACAATTAACATATTTATATAAATATTCATTATTATACTATATTATATCTAGTATGCATAGTTTAATAATATAACAAATATGTATAATTATTTCAACAAAACAACATACAAAATATTTACCATGAACACATACGCTTTGACATGAACTAAAAACATACACATATATATCTAATTGAAATATTAACCAACTAAAAGTAGAATACCTAAAGGCTTAATACACCAACTTTAGTATTAACATCTAAGGCAAATAACAAACATAAATTATAAACAATAATTAAACAAAGTATTTACATATTAATTACCAAATAATAAACAACACAAAAAATAAAAAATGAAGTTAAAATACAACAATTTTAAAATTACAAAATCAAATCATAAATGAGCAAACGTATTTAAGGAAGAAAATTAAATAATTACGACATTCATAGCTCAAATTAATAAGAACAAGATTCAAATAAGGACTAAAATGAGAGTTTTCAGAATTATAAGCATGAAATTAAAATAAATAAAAGTAAATAACTGAAAGTGACCTAATTGTAACACACGTGAAATAAAAGTCTAAAATCATAATCTCTAAAAACCTTCAAATAGGGACTAAAATGAAATCTAACAAACCATAGACCCTCATCGTGTAATTTACCCATGCACAAAAATAAAAGTTACCCTAGAGCCAAAGCTATGTCGTTTTGGCTTCCCATTATATATCTTATTATAGGTTTTGGGGAAAACCTAAACCCATTTCATTTCATTCGGCCGCTCAAACTCCTCTCCTCTCCCCTTTTTCATTTCCTCTCAACCGAGAGAGAAGAAAGTTTCTCCACCGGCCGCCTCCCTTCACGTCTCCGATGAGGGACCGATGAGGGACCGATGACCTTATATTTTCCCCAAAAAACCACCCTATCCAACCCTTAAACTACCTATCCTCAAACCCAACTCGAAACATCACCATTTCTAAAGTTTAAACCCAAAAAAATAAAAAGGGAACTACCTATGAGGTTCAGAGATACGATGACAAAAGGCTCGGATTCGACGGTAAGATTTCCTCTTTTTTCCTTTCCTTTTCTCTTTTTTCTCTTTTTTTGTTTTGTTTTTTCAATTTTTCTTCTTCTTTTCTTTTTTTACTCTCTTTCCCCCTAAAAAACCGAAACCCCCCCATTTTCTTTAGATTTCCTCTCATATATTTTTTTCTCCAAGAACGAACTCCCCCTAATTTGCTCATGCTTAGTCATTTTTAATGGGGAGAGTGACTGATTTGGTGAGGCCTTCGACATAGGGGAAGGATTTCCCTAAAACCAAATCCTGTTTTTTTTGGGATTTTTTTCGGGATTTTTTTCATTTGTTTAATGGGTTTGGTGTTTGATTAGGTAAACTGATTTGTTTAATGGGATTTCCCTATTGATGTGAGTTGATGATGATGATATGTTGAAACGACAGAGGCCAGATGATGAAAATCAGTGGCTAAAACAGTGGCAGCTGCATGGTCTTCTCGGTTGGCAGTGAAGGTGGCGATGACACATGTGGCTAGGGTTAGGCTAAGGTTTCAACAAACCCTAATCTCAGTGGACTTGGACATACTGTTTGGTTTTTGGTTTGGGTTCGTTAGGTCACTTAGGCTGGTTGTATTTGGGCTCAATTTGGGTTTGTAATTTGGCCTGCCATAGAAATAAAATAAATATAAAATGATAATAATAATAATAATAACAGTCTCCGGACGAAAATGGATGTCGACAGTTGCCCTCTTTGCCTATTCTTGTTAACACAAGAATAGGGTAAAGACGATGAGACAACGAGTTTTCATCCGGTCAAATATGTGCTTTTGGAATTTGATATAGTCTCGAGTGAGACTGTAAATGGACAATATCCCAAGAGAGATTCTTGGATACGAAATCTAGAAAGGGATCTGGTCCACAGCTTCTTCAAGGTAAATCATATATGGAAATGTTGATTCATTCCACTATTCTTTTGGGAATATTGAATGGAGAAAGATTTGTTCCACTGCTTCTTCAGGGAAATTAAATCTGGAAAAAGGGATGTGCTCCGCTGCTTCTTCAGGGTAGATCAAATCTGAAAATGTTTATTCATTCCACTATTCTTTAGGGAATACTGAATCGAGGCAGATTTGTTCCACTACTTCTTCAGGAAAGATCAAATCTGGAAAAAGGGGACATGCTCTGCTGCTTCTTCAGGGTATATCAGATTTAGAAATGTTGATTCATTCCACTGTTCTTCAGGGAATATTGAATCGAGGCAGATTTGTGCCACTACTTCTTCAGGGAAGATCAAATATGGATATTAAACATTACCACTTGTTAGTATATGTTTGAGAATTTGATAACGTCATAACTGAAAGTTTAGAATTCCATATAATCTTTGAAAATCAATTTCTCTTGTGAAAACTTGTCTCGCAACCACCAGATATGAGAATCTACCTTGACTTTGAGTGTCATTTGAACCTCTCCCATTTTGGGACTTTAAATTGGTTAATGAGTTCTTCTTGTCATAAATCTTTAGTTAATTTCTAGAGACACAGTCTTATGGAAGACAAGGTTGAGGTTTCTAGGGAAATGATCTCAAGAAAGACTAAATTGAGGCTTCTAAAGAAACGAGCCTAAAAAAATCAAGAATAAGGTTCCTTGAGGAACAATCTTTAGGAAGACTAAATTGAACTTTCTAGGACACAAGTCCTAAGATAGTCATGATTGAAGATAACATTATTGAAAGATTGACTCATATATACGAGAAAGTCAAGTTGAGGAAGGATAGTATTGAAAAATTGACTCCTTTATGCGAGAAAGTCAAGAATGACAACACTAAAAAGTTGACTCTTCTTCACGAGAAAGTCAAGAATGACAAAAATGAAAGATCGAGAATTACAAAAATGAATTTCTATAAAAACTATCCTAAGAATGATTATATTGAGGTTTTTATTGAGACAGTCTTAAGAGAAACAAAATGGTTTCTCAAATAAAATTTTCAACCATCATTATGAGAGAAACAATCAAAATTTATCATTTTTGTATGAAATAATGAATGTATGATGCAATGATGCAAGTTCATGAAACATATATATTTTCTTGATCTGTGTTGGGAATGGTTGCCTAAGTAGTCTTCATTCTCTTCCTGATTGGGTTATCTTCACTCTTCGTTTGCACTAAAGTGTACCCTTGCAATTCTTGACTTGTGACAACTTGTTTTGCTAACCTCAGCTCATTTTTGCCCCTGATAAGATTGACTTTCTACGGTTGAACTTGTGTAGAAATCTAATAGAGTTTTCATCTTTGAAAAGATTGTAACATCCTAAAATAGGGTTAGTGACTAAAAGTTAAATTTTGAAAACTTTGTGCTCAATTTTTGAAACAAGTTAAAAGTTCAAGGACTTAAGTAAAGAATTTTGATGTTGGATTGATTAGCAAAGTTGGAAATATGAGAGGGTATAATGGTCATTTCATAAGGAATAATTTTTATTTTCCTTTATAAAGGATGTAACACGTGGAGTTAAGAGGGAAAGAAAGAAAACTCTGGAGGGTTGGTTATCTTCTTCCTCTCGTGGCTTCAGTGGTAAGGTGAGTT